TGTTGCTTGATTCATATTAACCATTTGTTTCCTGCTGTAACCTGTGAAAGCACTGTTCATTAGAAGTATAATTTAGATTGTAAGCTCTTATGAGCAGGACCGTTTTATTTTAGTAACATCAATCCTGCTTTTTTTCTTTTTTCCCCCACCAAGAAGTTGACTGTACCTACTTGTTGCTGCTGTCCAAATAAATGTGGAATATGTATTTGATCAATAAATGTTTGGACTATATATTTTTGGGGGGGTTATTTCATGTTCAAGTTCAATAGACTAGCACCCCTAACACTTATGAATGTAAGTTAGGGACCTTAGATAGTATGCCCCTTGAGGGTTAGGGACTGATGTGAATTTACCACATATATATGTAAAGCGCTGCGTAAATTGACAGCTCTATATAAGTATCTGAAATTAATAAATGTACTAGCACCCCTAACACTTATTTTTGCTACCTATATAATATGCCCAAATCTAGCTTGTTAGAGTGCACATATGAAAGTATGTCCAAACTAACAAACCAAAAGCACCCTATTGCACCACAAGACAATGTTATGTACCAATGAATAGGTCGTGTTCAATGTTCAGCTAGCTATTCTTTTTCTACAATCCTCTTAACAGTAATAAATTAGGCCCTCAATTTATGTTGACTTTGGGCCTTTACTGCCAAACATATATTCGCCAATGCCAAATACACAATAGAGCTGCAAACATATATTCGCCAATGTCATATACACAATGGAGCCGCATGGAAAACTGCTATGGCGCACAAATAAACGCCAAGACGGCTGCTGGAGGAGGTGCTAGAGCGGCTGTCATACCAGAAATACGTCATCACGTTTGTGGAAGGATTTTTGCACTCACCCAGAAGTGGTAGTGGGTAGTGTTAGTGGACGGGAGTGTAGTTAGGAGAGTTTAGTGGTAATTTGCAAATCTATTTTTTGGCTTTGCAAATCAATCTTTTGTGGAATTCCAGACCACATCTCGAAATGGAGAGATTGCTGTTCACGACTGAGGAGCTGATCCTCATTTGCAGGGGAAACATTACTAATAATTTTTGTATTTTCAGTTGAAAACATGTCTGATTCCTAGATACATTGAGGTACATAGCAGAGGTTCAAGGTATTCCATAGAAGTTATTCTTCCTAACTATAAAGGTGGCACAGACACAAGCATACACCCAGGGCCACTGTTAGATATCACAGGGCCCCGTACAGCATACCTGACAGCCCCCCACCACCAGAGAAAATATCCAAATTATATTTATGGTAAAAAAAATACACTAAAAACATTATTAATGGACACAATCCCAACCTAATTCCTGTTAAAGCTAAATGATAAAAACTGTACTGAGTTAATAAATAAAGCTGTGCGTGTAATTGAGTTCTTGGGGCTCATTCATATGGGTGCTGTGGCCTGTAGAATGTGAATCAGTGGTTTGTGTTTGTGGCTGTCGCCGTTTGCAGGCAACCTGTGTTACACTATGGAAATGCTGCAGGTCTTAATTTGAAAAGCATATGGGTGCAGGTGTACAGCCCTGAACACAGACAGTGAGCATTCAGGGCCACTTCCCCATGTCTGCACACCTGTCAGATTAAAAGCTTGTTTATACAGCTGCTGTGTCCCCATAGGTGCCTCCAGCCACATGAACAACTCGCCTATTTATGCTGCACAGGCCAGAGGACCTGTGTGAATGTGTCATTTTTTTTTTTTTTCCTCAGCCCATTCATTTCAATGGGTTGCCTAATGTGTGGGAAACATGCAAAAATACTGCAGGCATATTATTTTAAAAGTGTGTTGTACCTAACCGCACAGTAGTGTGGTGCCATGCGTTTTGGTGGCTGTGAATGCATCTGTGTTTACTAGACATGTGGAGGTGCAATTAAGTTTGCATCATGGTACTGGCGCACATCAGCAAAAGGCATTGCATTTCTTTGTGTAGGAAAATGCGTGCTCTTGCATGCATTTCTGCACCACAAATGGTGTGAACAAATGTTCCAGTGCATTTTGGATGCATTTTTGACGCATCTTTTTCTTCAATTTAATTAGGGACGTGTGCGTTTTAGTACGTTTCAGTGCTTTTTTGACAGCACCTGCAATGCACTGGAAATGCAAGCACTGATGTGAACTATGACATTGACAACCATATAACCTTCTTTCTGTGCATTTTGGATGCCAAAAAAAGCAACTGAAACACATGTAGTGTGAACTGGCGCTAAAGGTTATTATAGGTAAGGGAACAGGACTGACCAGGAATTGGTCAGACTAGTGGTGAGATACAATTAGGAATATTATAATAATGCTAGATCTGAGCTGTAGGTGATAGGAAATGAGACACATTAACTTGATCAGTAAATAAATAGTTAAATATAAAGAGTGGGACGGTGATACATAGATTTGCCGAAGGAACAGGTGATGACGGGGGGAGGGGGCCAAGTTGTATAAGGAGAGAGGTGTAAGAGAAGAGAAACAAAGTTGCAATGAAATATAAACAGAAGGAAAATTGAAAGTTTCAAACTTGCCAGAAGAACAGGAGGCAGGTAAGATTCACTCCCTTTCTACTTTCTAGTCAGTAGCCAAAATCTTGATTGATCAATATTCCTGGCACTGACAGAACCTTGGAAATTGATCTACTTATTTTGAGCATTCACAAATGTCAAGGAGCTTACAATCTAAGGCCAGAAACTCAGACATATACTAGGCCCAATTAACCTAACAGCATGTCTTTAGAGTATTGGCAGAAACACACCCGCACAGAGAAACTCCAGATAGGTACGGCCATGCCTGGGATTAGAACCCATGACCCAAGTGCTGCAAGCCCTGAGTGCTAACCACTAAGCCACTGTAACAGAGTTTGAGCTGGAATGTAGAATAGTTACATGATTAAAGAGAATGAAAATGTATAATTATATTGGGAAATTAAAACTAGACATTCAAATTATTTGAGATATAAGTTTGAAAATGTTTGACATTTGAAAATAGGATGTATGACTTTGTAACATTCATTAGGAAATGCATTAGTTGGCCGATCATTTTTGGGGAAACAGCAACAAAAAAATAATAAAAAAAAAAAAATATACTATAGGTGTGCTTTTTATTTTAAATTGTAAGTATTTTCATATGCAGACAGATAAACGTCAATGGGACAAAGCCCGCACTTGTGTGCCACCTAGCGACCATATACGGCATTGCTTCTAGAAATATGCCCAACATGGTTTCGTATTTACGAACAGGATAGTGTCTACAAAGTAGACTCTTTCGAATCAGCTTGCTGGGGCGCCTTTCTGAACACTGAAAGGTCTTAATTGATTCAATTGGGTCTGCCTGAATGTTCAGCGTCTGCTGGTATTCTTAGTAAATCAGGGCCTTTTTGTTCCCATGAAAAAAATCTGTATTTTTTTCTAGGAAATTAATTTAAACCCCCAAACATTATATTTTTCTTAAAGCAAATACCCTAGTGAATAAAATGGTGGGTGCTGCAATTTTTTATATCACATAGTACTCACAGCGATTTTTCAAATGCAATTTAAAAAAAAAAAATACACTTTTTTTTTTTACTTTTAATGCACAAAAACACAATATGTTGGCCAATTATTTTGGCAAAATATAAAAGATGATGGTATGCTGAGTAAATAGATACCAAACATGACATGCTTTAAAACTGCGCATGCCTTGTGCAATGGCAACAAACTGCATAAGTTTTTTATATCCATATGCAACTATTTAAAAGCCTTTACAAGCTACCATTTTAGATTTACAGAGGAGTTCTAGTGTTAGAATTACTGCCTTGATCTGATGTTCACAGTGATACCTTACTTGCATGGTGCAACCGCTTTTTACATACCAACATAGGGTCGACGCTCAAACACACAGGTGTGCACACTCGGGAGGGCTAGGGTGCTTTTTTTTTTTATTTAAGTTATTTTGATTTTTTTAACTATTTTTACACTGTCCCTTTCATTTTTTTTTTATCACTTTTAATGCTATCACAGGGAATGCAAACATCCCCTATAACTTCAATGGGCATTGTCATATATTCTTTTTTTTAGAAATCTGTGGTCTATCAGACTCTAGATATCTCCTCTGCCTTTTACATTATCTAATCTCACCAAGATCGGTGTGATCAGATGCTTTCCCGATTTACAAATGGCACTGTTTATATCCTGCAAAACTGAAGTGATGAAATGCTCATAGCTTCTGATTTCTTAGACGATAGAGATAATTGGCATCATTCTGATCTCCAATCAGCTCTATAATCAGCTGGCAGAAACACCGGCTGCATTTTCAGGTTCCCCCCGATGGCACGGGACTGCCTGAGAAGGCTGTGGAAGGCAGCGGGGGAGGGGGTATCATTTCCCACTGCTTGTAAAAAAGCAATCTTGCAGCTAATTAGCCACTAGGATTGCTTTTATATGAAAGCCGATTGCCGTCTGAAAAAAACCAAACCAGGATGATGCCTGCAGCTGTAGGCATCATCCTGGTATAACCATTCAAAGTTCAGTGATGTACCAGTACGTCGTGGTCCTTGTTGGGTATATATGCTATGTTTTTTTTTTTTAAGCAGCTTGTGGCTGAAAGAAAAAAAGAGAAGAAATCTCTGCCAGAAAAAGTGTGTGGTATGCCCACTAGAGATGAGCGAATCGAACATGGCGAAGTGGAATTTCGTTTCGAAGATCAGGAAAAATTCGATTTGCGCCGAATCCGAAAATTAGCAAACTTCGGATGCACGAATCGAAATTTTCCCAAAAAATGGCGGCGACATGTGTGGCGACGGAGTGGGGATCTCTGGGAAGGCGCGCAGACAAGGCGCGCTGACCCATAATGCATTCATTCATGACATGTGATCGCATTAGCCAATCAGCAGCCAGCCAGCCAGCACTGTGTAATGGTGGAGCTATAAATTGCGGCCATCTTACAATTCTCCATTAGCCTCCGGTCATTCAAGAGAGACAGACCTGTCTGTATTAGGGACAGAGTTTAGGGCCAGAGAGACTTTAGGGCCACAGAATCGTTACTTAGGGACACAGAATCGTTACTTAGGGACACAGAATCGTTACTCAGGGACACAGAATTGTTACTCAGGGACAGACACAGAATTGTTACTCAGGGACACAGAATTTTTTACTCAGGGACACAGAATTGTTACTGAGGGACACAGAATCGTTACTGAGGGACACAGAATTGTTACTCAGGGACACAGAATTGTTACTCAGGGACACAGAATTGTTACTCAGGTACAGACACAGAATTGTTACTCAGGGACACAGAATTGTTACTCAGGGACACAGAATTGTTACTCAGGGACAGACACAGAATTGTTACTCAGGGACACAGAATTGTTACTCAGGGACACAGAATTGTTACTCAGGGACACAGAATTGTTACTGAGGGACACAGAATTGTTACTGAGGGACACAGAATCATTACTCAGGGACACAGAATTGTTACTCAGGGACACAGAATTGTTTTACTCAGGGACAGGGACACCGAATTGTTACTCAGGGACACCGAATTGTTACTCAGGGACACAGAATTGTTACTGAGGGACACAGAATCGTTACTGAGGGACACAGAATCGTTACTCAGGGACACAGAATTGTTACGACAGGGACAGGGACATAGAATTGTTACTCAGGGACACAGAATTGTTACTCAGGGACACAGAATTGTTACTCAGGGACACAAAATTGTTACTGAGGGACACAGAATCGTTACTGAGGGACACAGAATCGTTACTCAGGGACACAGAATCGTTACTCAGGGACACAGAATTGTTACTCAGGGGCACAGAATTGTTACTGAGGGACACAGAAATCGTTACTCAGGGACACAGAATTGTTACTCAGGGACACAGAATCGTTACTGAGGGACACAGAATCGTTACTCAGGGACACAGAATCGTTACTCAGGGACACAGAATTGTTACTCAGGGACACAGAATTGTTACTCAGGGACAGAAATCTGAGGGACACAGAATCGTTACTCAGGGACACAGAATTGTTACTCAGGGACAGACACAGAATTGTTACTCAGGGACACAGAATTGTTACTCAGGGACACAGAATCGTTACTCAGGGACACAGAATCGTTGAATTAAAGAGTATGTCAGACAACACGCAGAGGAGTGGCAGAGGAGGCAATGTTTTTAGGAGCGAGCAGACGTGGCAGCAGAGGAAGGGGTCGAGGCAGCACTAGTCGCAGCCAGAGGCCAGTGCTCCCGGTGTCATCCAGCGGTCGTGTCTCCACCGACAACCCTGCCGTCATCGATTGGTTGGCTCGGTCGTCTTCCTCTTCCCAGGTCACCTCTGACACCTACAGCCAACAGTCGGTGGGTACGTCAGACACAACCGTTAGTTGGCATGGCCCGGGAGCAAGCCCACTGAAATCACGTGTCCTCTACCTGCCCCTGTCCTTTGGTGTTCCCTCACCAAGCGAAGTATATCGCATGCTGTGGGCTCAGCCCCACTGTACAGTGAGGAAGAGCTAACAGAGGGCGGTCAGGAACGGGGGGAGACATCCGCCTCTTCAGCAGCCAGGCGAAGAAGTAGTACTGGCGAGGAGAGTGGCTCGGTAGCCGGTCTAGAGACAGGTCTGTCTCCTGACCCACACGCAGCCGAGGGGGCTAGTAGTGAGGCGGAGACCCTAATTGATGATGATGAGGCTGATCGCACTTGGCAGCCTCGTCGTCATCTGCCAGGCCCGTAATCTGCCATGGGCCCCCGTACCGACTCCTCATGCTGCTGGCCAGGCCCGTAATCTGTCATGGGCCCCTGTACCGCCTCCTCATGCTGCTGCCAGGTCCAGAGTGTGTCATGGGTCCCTGTACGGCCTCCCATTGCTGCTGTCTCCATCGCCACAGTCTGCCATGTGCCACTTTCAGGTCTCCTCACACTGCTGGTGGGTTCCATTTTGTCATAGGGTGCTGGCAGATTACGGGCCTCCCATTGCTGCTGCCAGGCCCGTAATCTGTCATGGGCCCCTGTACCGCCTCCTCATGCTGCTGCCAGGTCCAGAGTGTGTCATGGGTCCCTGTACGGCCTCCCATTGCTGCTGTCTCCATCGCCACACTCTGCCATGTGCCACTTTCAGGTCTCCTCACACTGCTGGTGGGTTCCATTTTGTCATAGGGTGCTGGAGATTACGGGCCTCCCATTGCTGCTGCCAGGCCCGTAATCTGCCATGGGCCCCCGTACCGACTCCTCATGCTGTGACGTTTCAACAAGGGTGGAAACAGTTCAACCCTACATATGTTAGACCACCCATTGAAGAACAGCGAAAGGCATCACTCTCTGAGTCTATTTCCTGATGTTACAATGCTAAAGGTACTCCCCCTGTGTAACTAGATGTCAGCCATTGGCAGCTCATGCGTGACACCTGCCGCATTGCTGCTGCTCAGCCCAGTTCTGAGGAGGGCCTGTACGCTATCGTGAGTCGGCAGGACTATGGGTTCACATGAACGACATCATTCCTCTGTTGCTTGTCCTGGAACAATGCTGTTAACAATGGCTGGTTCCTTCAGGGTCTGCGGGTAGACGTGGCGCCACACAGATCTCAACGCCACATGACCCCTGTGGTGGCAGGACAGGTAAGAAGAGGAGGAGGTAGAGGAAGGACATTGCCATGCTCAGGAATTATTGATGTGAAATGGGTGGTTTTTTCCACTCAGCGGACAGGAGTGGAGGGTCCCTGTTACAGGAGCATTGCTGGCGTAGAGGAGGAGGAGGATGTGGACCAGACGCACAACTGTGGTGGGATGCTGTGGAGATAGGGTGCTGGCAGGGAGTCCTCGCAATCTGCCTTGGCACAAAATGGCCCATATGCTGATGCTCGGTTGCTTGCGTAGCGACAGCCGAATTATAAACCATCAGACAGAGGGATGACTTTTGGGCTGTCCACCTTGTTGGACCCTCGCTACTGTTCAAAAATGGTGGCCTTTTTCACACCTGCTGAGAGGGAGGCCAAAATAACGTACTATAAAAACCACCTATGTAGTCAGTTGGTCTCTCTGCCTTTCTGCGCCAACTGCCATCCTCAGACACTGTGGGTGCCCATGTGCGCTCGCGTTCCTGCTGCCATGGCATGCAGGGGAGGGGTGGGCCAGGCGTGGTAGGAGCAGTGGCAGCTCCACCTAGCAGCGGCTGCCTCAGTCTGCAGTCGATGATGAGTAGCTTTCTTCACTCAGCTGCAGTGAGGAAACACTCTGCTAACCAGCCGCAGGTCAGCTCAGCAGCAGCGGGTATTTTGTGCACATCAGGTGGACCTGGAGGACAGGACCTCAAACAACAGGCTTGGCCCGTACTTGGGCCACAGCACCCTGCCAACTGCGAGGTAGACAATTCCCTTTGACTTCTGGGCAACAAAACTTGACCCATTTGGCAGCCCAACTAGCTGCCATTTGCCCTTGAAAGGCTGTCACTGCCACCAGGCCAGTAGCGTGGTCATCGGAGTCGCGTAGCGGTTTAGATTACGGCCATGGAGGTATTGTGCCCCCTACTCTGCGGAGGACCCCTGACTGGATCAGCACCCAAAGTGTGGAGAGACTCACGTTTGTGAAAATGAATCTCCAATGCTGGCGGGATTAGTCTGGATTTCAATGTCCACCAGTTCCTGACACAACTGACTAAATCTCGCCATGAGATCTGCCATGGGCCCCTAACATGTTATTATTGCTGCTAGGCCTCTGTCACAGCCTTCAATCTGTCAAGGGCCCTTCGCCAGTGCCATACTGGCCTTCCCATTATGCTGCCAGGTCCTCCATTTGGTGCATGGCAGTATTGCCGTTGCCATCGCCACACTTTCATGTGCACTTAGGTCTCACACTGCTGTGGGATTTCAAATTTTCCCTGGCAGATTACGGGCTCCCATTGCTGCTGCTGGCCCATTGTTAATCTGCCATGGCCCAGTACCGCCAACTCCTCATGCTGCTGCCAGGTATTTTCCAGTCTGTCATGGGTGGGCCCTGTACGGCCTCTCACATGCTGCTGCTGCCAGGGTCCAGTTCTGCCATGGGCCACTGTTCATGGTCTCTACCACTGCTGCGCACTGCTTAACAGGTCCCATTTTCATAGGGTGCTGGAGATTACGGGCCTCCCATTTGCTGCTGCCAGGCCTCCCGCAATCTGCTGGGGCCCTCCACCTTTTAGGGCCCTATCTATACTCCGTCACCATCCTGCATTGCTGCTGCCAGGCCCGTAATCTGCCATGGGTAATGCCTCCTCATAGCTGCTGCCAGGTCCATAGTTTGGTGGGTCCCTGTACGGCCTCCCATTGCTGCTGCTGGCTCTCCATCGCCACACTCTGCCATTTCCACTTTGCCAGGTCTCCTCTCACACTGCTGGTGGGTTTTTTTGGTGCACATAGGGTTGCTGGCAGATTACGGGCCCTCCCATTGCTTCCGCCAGGCCCAGTAATCTGCCATGGGCCCCTGTACCGCCTCCTCATGCTGCTGCCAGGTCCAGAGTGTGTCATGGGTCCCTGTACGGCCTCCCATTGCTGCTGTCTCCATCGCCACACTCTGCCATGTGCCACTTTCAGGTCTCCTCACACTGCTGGTGGGTTCCATTTTGTCATAGGGTGCTGGCAGATTACGGGCCTCCCCCATTGCTGCTGCCAGGCCCGTAATCTGCCATGGGCCCCCGTACCGATCCTCATGCTGCTGCCAGGCCCGTAATCTGTCATGGGGCCCCTGTACCGCCTCCTCATGCTGCTGCCAGGTCCAGAGTGTGTCATGGGTCCCTGTACGGCCTCCCATTGCTGCTGTCTCCATCGCCACACTCTGCCATGTGCCACTTTCAGGTCTCCTCACACTGCTGGTGGGTTCCATTTTGTCATAGGGTGCTGGCAGATTACGGGCCTCCCATTGCTGCTGCCAGGCCCGTAATCTGCCATGGGGCCCCCGTACCGCCTCCTCATGCTGCTGCCAGGCCCGTAATCTGTCATGGGCCCCTGTACCGCTCCTCATGCTGCTGGTGGCCAGGTCCAGTACTCTGTCATGGGTCCACTTACAGGCCTCCCATTGCTGCTGTCCAGGCCCATATACGGCCATGGGCTGCCAGGCCCGTTGCCATGGGCCCCGTGTACCGCTCATCTGCTGCTGCCAGGCCAGTAATCTGTCATGGCCCCCTGTACCCCTTTTCCTCCTCATGCTGCTGCTGCCAGGTGTCCAGAGTGTGTCATGGGTCCTGTCATGGCCTCCCTCCATTGTGCTACGGGCCTCCCATTGCTGCTGCCAGGCCCCGTAATCTGCATGGGCCCCTGTACCGCCTCCTCATGCTGCTTGCCAGGTCCAGAGTGTGTCATAGGGTCCCTGTACGGCCTCCCATTGCTGCTGTCTCCATCGCCACACTCTGCCATGTGCCACTTTCAGGTCTCCTCACACTGCTGGTGGGTTCCATTTTGTC